AATGATCTCCGTGATGCCCATTGAGTTTGTGTGCACCAGGAAAAGCCATGTAGCCAGCTGGAGTCCCAGAAGACCTGGCATGCCTTCGTGTTTGAGAATCTCATTTCATTTCTTATTAATGTCTTAAAAGCAAAGAAAATCCCATAAATCGTGTCAGGGGAATGTCAGGAGTTTGTACTGGTGTGCAAAGAAAATTCATTAAATCTTGTCAGGAAAATGACAGGAGTTTAGACTGGTGTCTTACACAGTGGCATCTGACATAGTGGTTTTTAATTAGCCATCCTGCATCCACCATTTAGGATGTTTATTTTTGCTCTTGGAAGATTTTCAGAAACAAGCAAGGGGGAAGGGCCAAATCATTTACACACATGCATAACCAAACCCAAATCAGAGTGTTCACAGAAATTTTAACCCAGGCATGCAGATCAAACAAAATATTAAACTAGGCATGCAGAAAGAACCAAAAATGAACTCACCAGAAAAGACATGCCTCTAAGACAGATTGTAAATTCTGTAGAAACTGGAGTACTCTCCACAAGGACGCTTCTCAGGAAGGGCTTGCCAAAAAAAGAATTTTATAGTTCCAAGAGAGATGCAGCATTCTTCATTGAAGGTAGGCTTATAACCAAACCAAATCTCAGATAAAGTCAAAAAGCCTCTCTCAGGAAGAAGGAGCTTAGCCTGAGTGAAAGCTTGCCAGGGCAGAACAGGTGAGCCATGGAAGCAGAGAGCTCAAAGGGCTCAAGGTGAGCACAGCCCACAGGTTCCAAGAATCACTGATTCCTTCCAAAAGTGATCTTGCTTCAGGTTCCACTTCTGGAAACCATTTATGTCAACCTAAAAAACAAACACTGAGAGGTTCTCTGAAAGAAAATGATGTTTACATGGTAATGGGTCATTGCAGTGGGAATACTCATGCCATATGACCTATGTGCATATTCTGGGAAGTAAAAGAAGACAAAGGTTTTTAGAGGAAAAGTGAGGAGGATTACATGGTTGTTTGGAGAGAGTGATCCTTAGCTACAAGGAACAATATGGGTGGTGCCAGTTCCAGGTTGGACAGGCAGTTGCTGGGCAGATGTCCTTATAGTATTTTTTTGTACAAGGTTATGGTTTTTGCAGTCTTTCGTGATGGTTTTTGTTATCAGACATTTGTGAGTGAGAATTCCTACTTCACAGCCTTCCCCAGCTCTATTCATCAGGATTTTTTTTTATATATAACATTAAGTGACTCCAGATTTATTCTGACAACTTCCACAACTTACAGGTCCTTTTGTTTATCAGTCAAGGAAAGAAGAGACAAATAAAAGTCCAGTGTATTGAGTGTTTAATATTTACTGGACTCTAAGAGTAGAAAGATGAACTTTTTGCTCTTCTCAGGAAGGGAAAATCAGACACATTGTACTGTTGCCATACCAAGGGATCATCAGGAGGAAGCTAGAGGGGAGGGGGTAGCCATGGGAGCACAGGGTAGCCTCAGGAGGCAGGAAAGGCACCTCAGAGGGGCTTTAATGTATACTACCTTAGCACTGTCCTGGGGAGGGACAAAATTCTCTTGGTCTCTTGTGCCTTAGTTCTCCAACAAAGGTAATTAATGGACTTTAATTCCAGGAAACATAGCTGTGTTATGGAAGAGCAGCCACACACAGTTGGGCTTCTGGGTCTGCTGTCACACTCAGCTGGTGCCACAGATAGGCAGAAAAGCTATTTCTCAGAGCTTCTTAGCCTTGGAATTGAGGAATGGTGTGGGCCCCAGCAATCTTAATTATGCTTTCTCCAAATGCTTTGTGAACCCCCAAAATCTGAGACAGGTCTCAGTTAATTTAGAAAGTTTATTTTGCCAAGGTTGAGGACATGCACCCATGATTCAGCCTCAGGAGGTCCTGAAGACATGCACCCAAGTTGGTTAGAGCAGTGTGGTTTTATCCATTTTAGGGAGACATTGGTTCATGTTGGGGGAACCAGCCCCCACTATTTCAACATAGGTTCTTTTCTATTTTCCCTAAGTGTTGGCCAGTCTGAGAAATAAAGAGAAAGAGTACAAAAGAGAGAAATTTTACAGCTGGGCCTCCGGGAGTGTCATCACATGTCAGCAGGTTCTGTGATGCCCACTGAACCTCAGAACCAGCAAGTTTTTATTGGGATTTCAAAAGGGGAGGGGGGTACAAACAGGGAGTGTCATCACATGTCAGCAGGTTCTGTGATGCCCACTGAACCTCAGAACCAGCAAGTTTTTATTAGGGATTTCAAAAGGGGAGGGGGGTACAAGCAGGGAGTAAATCACAAAGATCACAAGCTTCAAGGAGCAATAAAATATCACAAGGCAAATGACAGAGCAAGATCACAAGGCCAGGGTGAAATTAGAATTACTGATGAGGTTCCATCCCGCTGGGCACACATTGTCATTGATAAGTATCTTAACAGGAAACAGGGTTCAAGAGCAAAGAACCAGTCTGACTAGAATTTGCTAGGCTGGAATTTCCTAATCCTAGCAAGCCTGAGAGCTCTGCAGGAGACTAGGGCGTATTTCATCCCTTATCTTCAACTGCATAAGACAGACACTTCCAGAGTGGCCATTTTAGAGACCACCCCCTGGGAATGCATCCTTTTCCCAGGGCTATTCCTTGCTGAGAAAAGAATTCAGTGATATTTCTCCTATTCGCTCTCTGCAAGAAGAGAAATATGACTCTATTCTGCCCAGCCCCTCAGGCAGTCAGACCTTATGGTTATCTCCCTTGTTCCCTGAACATTGCTGTTATCCTGTTCTTTTTCAGGGTGGCCAGATTTCATATTGTTCAAACACACATGCTTTACAGACAATTTGTGCAGATAATGCAATCATCACAGGGTCCTGAGACGACATACATCCTCAGCTTATGAAGATGACAGGATTAATGTAACATAACAAGATTAAAGACTGGCACAGGAAATTATAAGAGTATTGATTAGGGCAGTGATAAATGTCCATGAAATCTTCACAATTTATGTTCAGAGATTACAGTAAAGACAGGTGTAAGAAATTATAAAAGTATAAAAGTATTAATTTGGGGAACTAATAAATGTCCATGAAATCTTCACAATTTATGTTCTTCTGCCATGGCTTCAGCCGGTCCCTCCATTTGGGGTCCCTGACTTCCTGCAACAGGTTCAGTCTGGAAAGGCGGGACAACTTGAAGCAGGGAGGGGGCTTCCAGGTCGTAAGTAGAGATAAGAGACAAATGGTTGCATTCTTTTGAGCTTCTCATTGGCCTCTCCAAAGGAGGCAATCAGATATACATTTATCTCAGTCAGCAGAGGGGTGACTGAATAGAATAGGAGGCAGGTTTGCCCTAAGCAGCTCCCAGCTTGACTTTTCCCTTTAGCTTAGTGATTTGGGGGGGTCCAAGATACTTTCCTTTCACAGCTTTAAGCCAGTCTTTTTCCTAGGTGACATTTTAGTTTATCAGGTTGCAGGTTGCTGGCACACTCATCCCTTTTCTCAAATATCTTTTATACCTGAGTGAAATGACAATTGAGGGAAACTCATTTACAGAAAGACAAAGAAGACCATGTAAATTTGCACTAAAGCATAAATCTTCAGTCTCTCTAAAATGATTTTCTCTGAATTCTGAATACCTGACATAGTAGAATATTGGATTCTTGCATAAAGCCTTGACCTTCACAACATGTTTGTGTAGTGGGCAATGAAAATTGTTAACCAGGCTTATTACTAAAAGGAAAAATGCAGGTTTCTGAGAGGATTTCTTGCCTGATGTCACCCAGGTAACCATGCTAGGAGATAGATCTGATATTAAAATTCCTTCAGCTAGCTGGATTACAAACCTTCTAGGGTTGCTGACCTCTGAAGTCCAGGTGATTTTGATAATTTGGAGTTTAGTGATATATAAGCAGGTTTTCCAGACTTGTGTTTTTTTTTTTTTTTTCTCCTCTGCCCAGATTCTTATAGAATTTGGTCATAAGTGCTTTTTCCCTGAGTGATAGGATGGGAAGGAAGAGATTTAAGAACTGGAAACACTGAGAGGATTACAAATCTGTTGAGCACAGACTCCAGAGCCTGATTTTTGGCAGGTTCTGTTCTGGACTTGAAAACACGTTCAGTAATGATTTGTGCCCTTAAGGAGTCACTACCTGTGCACGGGCAATTCTTATTTAAGAATTGCCTGGAAAGGATGGTGATGAAAGTAGATGGAGTATCAGGTTCTCAGCTTACCTGGGCTCTTTCATGCACTTGTGGGACTAATTGAGAATTGTTTTATTCACTCATTGACTCATTTATTCCCCTTGAACTGCTTATTTGTTCCACATTAAAGGAAACAAGGAATTAGGAATCTTAGATTTATTCCCACTCATATCACAAACTGATTGTGTGACTAAGTGGGCAATTTGACTGTTCCTTACCTTAGTTCATATGTTTGTAAAATGCATATCATAATTCTTGCCCTAAGTGACTGTTTTGGTTACTTTAGTGAATAAAGTGAGAAAAATTGTTATTATAGCATTTTGACAAATATTTAATGTACCCCTATGAGATAGTATTATTATTTTTAGGCCAGTGGTTCTAAACTTCGGTATGAGTAATGATCCTTAGAGAATATATGAAAATGCATATTACTGAGCCTACATTCACAGATTCTGAGGGTCTGTGACCAAGGAATCTGCATTTTAAGAAGCACTTCAAGTAAGTATGATGCGAATGGTCCAAAAATTCCACTGAAAAATACTAGTGTGTCTGCAGAATACTGGGGAATTCCTCAGCAAGGTGTCTGTTTTCAGGATGATCTGGGGGCCCTCATCTTGAACCCTTTTCCTTGGGTGTATTTGTACATGTTCAGAAGGGATTTCTCTTATTTCTTATGTTTGTCTGCATGCCATGCAAGGGGCTTACAATCAATAGGTGCTTAGTGGAAATGTGCTGGCCTGCCCTACATGCAGAAAACCATGATTCTGCAGGTGAATGGGCTGGAGTGTAAGCAATCTTTTGTTTTCTTTTTTTAAAATAGCAATGCAGAGTCCTCAGAGAAGAGATTCAGAATGAACAGCTTTGTGTCAGACTTTGGAAGACCTCTGGAGCCAGATAAGGTATTTTCTCGCCAAGGCAACGAGGAGTCCAGGTCTCTCTTTCACTGCTACATCAATGAGGTGGAACGCTTGGACAGAGTCAAAACTTGTCACCAGACCACAGCCCTTGACAGTGATGTTCAACTCCAGGAAGCCATCAGAAGCAATGGGCAGCCAGAGGAGGAGCTGAACAGGCTCATGAAGTTTGACATCCCCAACTTTGTGAACACAGACCAGAACTCCTTTGGGGAGGATGATCTTCTGATTTCTGAACCACCTATTGTTCTGGAAACTAAGCCACTTTCCCAGACCTCACATAAAGACCTAGATTGAGAAACATGCTCTGTAAAGGGTCTTCCTGAAGATGTGGATTCTATCTTTATGTGGCAAGAAATCTACACCCACCAAAACTGTGTGTGTTTGGGGGAGAGAGAGGCACAGAGATAGAGACAGAGAGACAGAGAAGAGACCCCTTTAGAAGAGAGCTGAGCTGATTAAGCTGAATGGTTTTTTGTTTTGCTTTGTTTTTGCTTTTTAATACATTCGGAGCTTTGGTGGTATTAAAGTATTTACAACAAGCTTGTCCAACCCATGGCATGTGTCCCAAGACAGCTTTGAATGTGGCCCAACACAAATTTTAAACTTTCTTAAAACGTTATGAGATTTAAATTTTTTTTTTTTTTTTTTTTTTGCTATTTTTTTAAAGCTCATCAGCTATCGTTAGTGTTAGTGTATTTTATGTGTGGTCCAAGACAACTTTTCTTCCAATGTGGCCCAGGGAAGCCAAAAGACTGGACACCTCTGATTTATACTAGCTCATCTTCCTTGTTCAAAAATTTGGCCAAATAGTTATTGTCAGCATTCTTGGGTGAGGATTAGCCTACCACATTCTAATCTGGCCCTGCCACTACCATGCTCTACCTTTAGCAAGTTGCTTTACCTCTCTGGGCTGCCCCATTTTTAACTGTAGGTTGACGTGTCTGGAGTGATCCATCCCACCTCTAATATTTTGTGAATTTATGACTTTGCCTTCAGATGAGGCTAAGCTATACACAAAACAGTATAAACTAGGGTACTGCCTCATACCTCTCGTAGGCTCTCCCAAATCTCTGTACCTTCCACTCAACCCTTAATTGAACCAGGCTTTAGTCAGGGGGTCTGAGTATCTACCAGAATGTCAGGAGACTCATCTTGCACAGTCACGGTGACCAGTGTTTCTGGTGGGTTGTGCTGAAACAGCTCTTCTGAGAACTTCCAACCACCCATGCTCTAACCTGGGGACAGCCATCCCGTGCCTCAGAATAAGTACCAATTCATAGGTCATGCATGGTACTCTTGTCCCCAAGAAAAGTTAGGAAGGTTGTCAGCTGAGTGAGGGGAGGTGCCTTCTGGGTATCTCTGTGTTGGTGTATCTGTGCCATTGACTACAGAACAAGAAAAATACTATTTGGCGTGCTATTACCTTGGCAGATGTGTGGGTGATAGTCATCTGTATTTGAGTTGAGATGGTCAGTGGGTTGTAAATTCCCCACTAGCAGATATTCAGGGTGGCCTGAGTTATGTAAACTTGTGAGCAACACAGAGTTAATTTATGGAGGAATCAAAGCTGCAGACTGGTGTTAAAACAACTTGGTTTTGTGCACACAGTTGCATGCATGGCAAGCTGTTAATCTCTGGGTGGCATTTTCATTATGAATTTGTTCACCACCTGTCTTGCTTAAGCTATAAAATAAATGCATTTGACTGCACAGAAATTTTCTCTGTTTTTTTTTTTTTCACACATCCAATTTTTTATTTCCCAAAAAGTTGTACCATGTTTATAATGTCTCTTGGAGTAGGCAGTGCTGACTCTTCCTTAATCTCTGGGATTCTGGTGATCTGAGTCATGCATGAGATTTCATTTAGGGATTATTTCGCTAAAACAAATCCTTTTTCTATGACGTATTTTAAAGAAAATATCATTCTTTAAGACTATAACACTAAACAGTAAAACAAAGCATGGAATTTTTTTTTTTTTTGGTAATTAAAGTGACTAACATATTTTTACAAATAGATGCTATTTTCATGAATTTTTTATGCAAGAGAGCAAGAGTATTAAAGAATGCTGAGTTTGTTAACTTTTTTTTTTTTTTTTTTTGAGAGATGGAGTCTTGCTCTGTCACTCAGGCTGGATGGCTCACTGCAACCTCCACCTCCTGGGTTCAAGTGATTCTCCTGCCTCAGCTTCCCAAGTAGCTGGGACTACAGGCACGTGCCACCGCACCTAGCTAATTTTTGTATTTTTTAGTAGAGACGAGGTTTCACTATATGTTGGCCATGCTGGTCTCGAACTCCTGACCTCAAGTGGTCTACCTGCCTTGCCTCCCAAAGTGCTGGGATTACAGGTGTGAGCCACCGCGCCTGGCCAGAGTTTAACTTCTGAGTATGAATATTCGTAATTTATTTAATGAGATATAAATCATGGGCTATTATTAAAGTTCACAGCTACTTAGTGGTATCTTATTTAGAAGTAGATTTATTGATCAGAAGATTGAAAGATATTTAAAAGTTAGACAAATACACATGACTATATTATCATTTTTATGAACAAAATATTAAGAACTGTGAATAGTCTAAGATTTTGCCCCTCCTGCAAGTTAGCTTGCCATAGTCTCGTGGATGCTGCCAGAAGACACAAGAGTCTTGGGTCAGAGACAAAAACTTCATTACAGCACAGCAGACCACATATGCTTCATACTCATCTTGGTTCCTGAGTTTGTTTCCTATTGCTGTTGTAAAGAATTACCACAAATTTAGTGACTTAGAGCAACACAAATTTATTCTCTTACAGTTGTAGAGTAGAGAAGTCTAAAATCAGTTTCAGTGGGCTAAAATCAAGTTGTCAGCACAGCAGCATTCCATCTGGAGGCTCTCAGGATTAATCAGTTTTCTTGCCTTTTCTGTCTTCCAGGGGTTGCTCCCACTCTCTGGCTCCTCTTCTTCTACTTTACATCTCTGTCTTTAGCCATCCTGCTTCTCTCTCATAAGGACCTTTGTGATGACCCTGGGTTACCTAAGATATATTCTCGTCTTGAGATCCTTCACTTAATCACATCTGTAAAGTCCCTTTTGCCACATAAGGCAACATATTGACAGGTTTCAGGGATTAGGATGTAGACATATTTCGGGAGCCATTAGCCTACTAGTCTTCCCTTTGTCCCCAAAGGTTTATATCCATTCTATATGCACAATACATACACCCCATCCCAATATACTCCACAGTCTCAATTCACTATAGAATCAATTCAAAGTCAGATATATTACCTAAATCTTATCAGCTTAAAAGTCCCAAATCTTATCTTAACCATCTGAGTTCGGTGTTAGTGACATCCTGGGTATGATTCATGCTGGGGAAAAACTCTCCATCTGTGGACCTATAAAACTAGAAAATAAGTTATTTTCTCCCAAAATACAATGATGTGACCAACATAAGATACTAGTTACAAATATAGTTGTCTTTCAGTATATGCAAGGGACTGGCTCCAGGCCCCCTCTGTACACCAAAATCCTAGCATACTTAAGTCCCGCAGTAGGTCCTGCAGAACCTGTGTATATGAAAAGTTAGCCCTCCATATATGTGGGTTTTACATCCCAAGAATACTGGATTTTCAATCCCCATTTGGTGAAAAACATCTGCATACAAGTGGACACGTGCAGTTCAACCCTATAAAAGGAGAGAATGGAAGGAAAAATGAATCATCAGTCCAGAGGAAGGGGTAACTATGAGTTGAAGTTTAAATCTAAGTATGCATATGGGGCCTCAGGGAAGCCCCTAATCCCCTAAAGCAGGAACTTGTGGTTAACAACTTCTTGGATCTTTTATTGCTGATTGGCTGGAAGTTAGGTAAGCTACAACTTGAGTAAGGAGCTTTGGTTTTTTATCTCTAAACCACTCCAAAACAGGAAACCAACCAGCCTGCCTGTCTCAAAGTTGGCAGTGTTTCTGCTGGTATAACATTTTCAAGAACTAGGGTGTCTCCTGGATATATCACAGAAACTTACTACATTAGGCAAGAGGTTCCTGTGTGGATCACTCCTGAATAACCCTATCTCTAGCTTGTACTTAAATGGATAACATGATCCATGAGTCACACTACTAATTTTTTCAAAGAGAGCCCCTCTGTGTGATTTAATACTCTTTTTGTTTCTTTTGAGACAATAGCAAAGGTTGCCTAGTCATGTTCTTGGCTTTCTCTCCAGAGCATGCTTTCCTGCTGGTGAATCTTCTAATTTTAGTGTTTTTGCAATGTAATTGGCTGAGAATTTCCCAAATCATCAATTTGGATTCCCCTTCACTTAAAGTTCTTCCCTCAATTTATCTTTCCTCTTGCATTTTACTATCAGCAGCAAGAAGAAACCAGACCTCATCTTTAATATTTTGCTTGGAAATCCTCTCAGCTAAATATTCAACTTTATTATTTACAGATTTTGCTTTCTACATAATTGCAGGGCACAATTCACCTAAGCTTTCTGCTGCTATGTAACAAGGATCTCCTTTTCTCCACTTTCCAATAACATGTTCCTCATTTCCATTTTAACTTTCATCTGCAGTACCTTTAAAGTCCATAGTTCCACCAATAGTCTGTTCATGATGATTTAGGTAGTTCATAAGTTTTTTTGTTTTTGTTTTTTTGTTTTTGAGATGGAGTCTCTCTCTGTTGCCAGGCTAGAGTGCAGTGGCACGATCTTGGCTCACTGCAACCTCCGCCTCCCGGGTTCAAACGATTCTCCTGCCCCAGCCTCCTGAGTAGCTGGGACTACAGGTGTGCACCACCATGCCCGGATAATTTTTGTATTTTTAGTAGAGATGGGGTTTCATCTGTTGGCCAGGATGGTCTCGATCTCTTGACCTTGTGATCCGCCTGCCTCAGCCTCCCAAAGTGCTGGGATTACAGGTGTGAGACACTATGCCCGGCCAGATAGTTTTTTTTCTATCATGCTCAGCACTTCCCTCTGAGTCCCCACTTATAGTTGTTCACATTCATATTTCTACTAACAGTCTACTCAAGGCAATCTAGTCAGTTTATATCATGTTCTTCAATATTCTACCAGCCACTGCCCATTGCCAACTCCACATTTTTAGTTGTGTTTTGTTTTTTGACAATAGCAACAGAAATTAATATAGTTCCTCTTGTCTTTAGGTCTCACAGTGTGCAGATACAAGGACTCAGGGAGATGCTGTGCACACAGTGGGTTGGCGTCACGGCTATGGAACCCTGAGCTTAGGGGAACCCTGTGTTTTGACAATGGGTTGCAAGCAAACCTGCCTGGCCTTTACCTCAGAAGGAGATACTATCTTCATTATGCTGGCTAGTCAATAAACCTGCTCTGTGCTCCAGAGGGAGACACTATCTCCATCTTCCAAGGCTGTACACTTTGCAAACATTGTTGAATAGACAGCTGAGACAAAGGTGTCAGTGCCCCTGCTCACTATACATGCAGAAACCTGACAGGCCTTTGGAAACTGCGTCCCAAACCAAAAATGATCAAAGAGTATATGGTATAAGTCACTGGGGATTTTTGAGAAAGAAACAACTTTAAAGAAATTGTGAAAAGAATGAAGGTGACTTTTTAAATGCCTGAATTTCTCTTTTAGAGATGTACAACCACCTCAGGTTAAATTCAATGAATATTTTTCCCTTCTGAAAACTGCCAAGACTTTGCCAAAATATATATAGTATATGTGAGCTATTTATTACCTACTGAAAAATTGTCTATTATTGGTAGAACAATAATCCATCCTGTCACCCAGAAATGACGTATAGTAGAAATAGAAAGTCTTTATGTCTAGGCCAGGCTTTTAGACATATTGAGAGAGGCGACTTCAGGCAGCCTATGATCAGAGGTGGTGAGTTGGTAGCTTGTGCTGATTCTTGAGACAGATGTGTGTGAGTGGCACAGAGAAAATATTCTTGTTTTTCTATGGAGCTGGAGTTTTTGAATAAATTTTGCAGAAAACTTGGGATCCTCAGCTAAGAACAACCCTTGGGAAGTTCATTTACTGTATAGCTAGTGAGAGGTCTCCAGAGAAATACGCTTGCCTTGGGAAGAATGTGTGTACATTTTAAGGAAAAATACTTCATAAAATCCAGAGATACTGGAGAGAGATGTATATACATTTCTAGGATCCTTTCCATCTGTTCTCCGTGGAGCAAAGTTTTTTCTTCCTCATGTTTTGCCTCTTTCTCCTGTATATAAACAGAAGAACTCTTTTTTTCTCCATCCCTCATCTAGGATACAGATGTTGTATGTATAGGAAATTTTAACCTAGTTTGCAGTGTTACTTCAGGGGTAGAATTGGGATGTGAGGGACCATGTGATTATGGATGGCTTTTAAAATGAATAATGAGAATCTGAACTGACCCAGATAACCTGGGGTATACATTTATGATAAAATTAATAAACACAAATGTTAAAAATTTAACACAAATGGTGTTAGACTTCATTCCAAAAACGCCTCATTAGAGAGCAGAATAGTGTCAAGTGTAAGTGTAGGAGAGTTTGTACACACGAGTCGCTCCGTATAGTACCCACGGACCCTATGAGCTGCCAGTGTGAGTTTGAAAGCACCAGCCTTTGGCTTCAAGTGAAATGTATGCGAACAACTTGCATTAAAGAAATAATAAATTCAGAGGTAATTATGATAACAACAGTGTCATAGGCTGTGTTCCATAAAAGCCCAAAAAGATTTATTGTAGGTGAGCTATAAGAAGGG